CAAACAACTCCTATTTCTCTTTCTTAAGACAAGCATTGTTAAATATCATCTGGAGATAAAATATTTTCTTAATCTGTTTGTCTCTAATTCTCCGGTAGCAGGTAAAATATGAGCTTGCAGTACTATATGTTACACGGAAATAAAAGTAACCGGCAACACCATGTAGTTTACTGCTGTGTCAGAATAAGCAGGGCATTTAAATGAGATCTCACCTCGAGAAGCGTCCTATCACTATAGCTATGGTACAGACAACGCCAAACAGCAGTCCCACGTTGGCAGCAAAGCATATTGTAAATATGTATGTACTGACCCATATGCCCTGAAAGAGAAACAGGAAACAGAAGATGTAGGTCCTTTGGAACCCCCGCTTACATTTCTGTCATGATTGCTAAGTGCCTCGCAATCCTATTTTACATTTCTCTGACCAAATCTCTCAGCAAGAATATATTATTTAAGAAGTTGTAAACAGAAGCCCAGGAATACAGAAACAAATCCTGGCTCCATCAGACTCTCAGCAGCAGAGGTGGGGAAGGGTTCATTCTTTTATTTCCAGATACTACCAACCCCTATTTCAATCCCCAACAAACACTATATTTAAGATCTGTAAATAGTTGGTTGATGTGTATGGTTCAAAAGCATGCCATAATTTCCCACTGATTTCTCATTTAATGTAATAATATTACAACCAATTGTTTGCAGATTTCTGGTCATTTCCAACAATGTTCTGTTTTCCAGGATTTCTATAAAAATAATAATGTAGTTTATTATTAATAAGGCTCTCAAAGCCTAATGTTAAAATGACTAACTCAAACGACACTTCCATGCCACTTTTAGATCGACCAGTATGAAGATGATTATAATTTTATTTGCAAGGGGCCATTCATTGTGAAAGCTAAAAACTCAGGGCCAATTAGTTCTTGGGAACATTTCAAAAGATTATAAGAAACTCTAATTCTCTTTTAGTTAGAATTCCAAAGTTATTGCAGTTTAGTTCATTACTTAAAATTACAATTTGCAAAAGATATTGTATTATAGTTGACATTTCTAAGCTTAGAGCTGCAAAAAAAGTCTTTAAAAGCAAAATAATTTTTGAAATCCACAAGGTTATACTTTCTAAGGACAAAATCTTACATTTATCAAATAGTACACTAACACAATTTTCAAACCCTTTTTTTTTTAATCAAAAAACCTGCATCCCTTTGTCTATGAATGCAATTCTAAATTGATTTCTTTCTGTTCCAATACCTGTATTATCACTTTAAAATATCTTCAAAAACATAATTCAATTCCATACACAAATGAAAAAGCTAGAAACTTCTCTATAATCTGAAAATAGCATAAAATATTTGGGGGTGGAGTGCAGGGTTTGTTTTTTTTTTTAAGACAAGTTTAAAGCAAATGTTTCTAAAGGGTTTTTTTTTTTTGCTTGAAACACTTTTCCTTTGCGTTATTTATCTACATTGAGCTTGAGTGATTCTTAATAATGGGCTGTTTAGAAAAGCTGAGCCCTTGGAAGCAAATGGAGGGATTTTTTTTTTTTCTGTAAATTTCCTTTTGATGTAGGAGAAACAAACATTCTGGAGTAAAAGATAAAATATATTTTAAATAATTCTCATGTTAAGATCCATCACCTACAGATGTAATGCTAAGTTTGTACTTATTATGTGATCATTCCCAACCTGTCATCTCATAGGTTAGGACACTGAGATGTTTTTCCCTTATTCAGATGAATAGATAATCATCTGAGCCTTCTGTTTGTACATAGTGTGTTTTTCCTTCCCAACATATTACACTATACTTAATAAAATACAAAATAAGGCTGCAAGTTTTTGATCACTACTTCAACTTCCCATGATGACTCTGAGTCTTACTCAGCCCTAAATGCTGACTGAACCTTCCTGAGTGTGCCAGAATAAGGCCTCACCACAAGCTCCATAAGACTAATGCCTCCTGGCCAACCTCCATGATTCAATATGGCATAGGGAACTAAGGATCCTGGTCCCTGCCACTTAAAAAACCACAGAGCCTGGAGGCCAGGATTCGTCAGAGCAACCAAAAATTTTGGTACCATATGGTTCTATTTTTAAAGCACATTTACTCTCCCACAACATCATCTATTATAAGTTGTGCTTTCATAATGCTTAGTTATTTCCTGGGGCTACATTTATAGCTTTGAAAAAATATCAAATGGAAATTAATAACATAGATCAGTAAATAGTTCCACTGGTTAGAGTAAGTCCTAATGGTATTCTGGAATAATTCTGTTAAAGACCCAAATGCTGGTTGTCACAGTCATCATGAATCAGTTAGCTCTAAGGCCCGTATGTTATTTTTTTTCATTCCTATTTGTTCCTTTCCCATATATGGCACTCAAACCCCCAAACAAAAAACTAACCCCAATGTTGACCTTAAGTAAGGAACAGAAAAATTTTTTCTCCCTATAGAAAATGCATCAGCATAAAGCATAGTGTAACAGCTACAGAGTCACCTCACCTCTCCCTAACCTATGTGTTATACTATCTGTTTTGGTGATAGAGCCATATTATTAAATTTGCATAGATCTGAATTTTATACCCACTGTTTGTCTACTCAAACTTCGTTCTGAGCCCATGAGTCAGGGCTCCATTTGGAGCCCTATTTCCTCATTACTTCAAAGAGGATTTTGATCTATAACTCAAAATAGAATCAATATTAAACTATAAAAAATATTAAAGAATAAAAAAATTTCTGATTTTTGAAGAGATGACTGATTACATAATTTTTTAGAATTTTAAATTTTCAAATTATTTTATACACACACACACACACACATCTAACTGGTGATTTTGCTTCCATGATATTTTAGGCATATTCTACCTATTAAGTAAACTAGACATATTATGTCTATTTGGTAATATAGCATCCATCTACAAAGTCTGTCCAATATTCTCACTCTACATGCTATGCCCAGGTCATATCCCAATAATCCATGGCTTTTCACTGTTTAATCTCTTATAAGCGAGGAGATACATATCCTCTCCAACCAAAGAAGGCCATTGTCAAGCTAAATCCAATGTCCCATTGAATCATCATACACGTGCTTTACCTATGTCACCTTTCTTAACATTACTCTTTGCTCACACCATATTGACTACTTACTCTTAAGTTTTCAACTATCACCTTTAAATAGGAGATTATCCATTCTCAGCTCTTAAACAATTTTTTAAACTATCAAACACTTTCAAACTCAGCACGTCCAAATGGCAAATACTTAACATCAGCCCAAAAACATGCCCTTCCTTCAATGTTCTCCTTTAGTTACAAAACTAATATTTTTCAATACACTATAATTAGATACTATGAAATCATATTTTATCCTTCCTCTTCTTTCATCTACTTGTCTAATCATTCCATAAGTGCTATCAATTATTAATCAGAAGTATCTCAAACCACGTGCTCTTGTTAATTTACTAATGATGCCCTTGTCACACTTTGATGTCTCTTTCCTAGACTATTTTGCCAAGCTCCTACCTGTTTGCTTTTGTTACATGCATTGTAAACCATTTGCCAAACTGCAGCCATAATTAATTTTCTAAGTATAGATTTGGATATCAGATTTAGATAACATATTAAAGTCAGTTTTACTCTACTGCCCCATTAAAACCCACCAAAAACAATATAAACAATGAATATACAGAGGGAAAAACAGCTTCAGTGAAACAAGAACATGATCAAAACTCTTAACTATGCCAAATACTATGAAGTTGGGATGATGATCAAGGAGGACATTAGAGGTCAACAAGTTTATACTTAGCATTCAACCAATTATAGAGTTTTGCGTAAATGCCAGTCTTGAAAACTCTATACAATAATCTTCTGATAGGAACTTCTAGGAGCAAGAGTTTCTAAGTTCTAGGGCTAAGAATGGGCCATCAGAGAAGCAGGAAATATACCATAGAGAGATTTATTTGATACCGTAAAACTGCAGAAGTGAAATACCATCTCTATCACCTATAACCTAGTTCCTAACCAAAGGAAACTGCTGGAGTTGAAGTAAGATGAAAAATGGAGAGAAGGCAACAGTGTCAGATCACCAGAGAGCCTGTGATTTCTGAGGCTTTGCTTTAACTAGGGATGCTTCTTCAGATGACATGCCTTACCTCATTTCCTACCTCCTTCCCTCCCCACATTATTTTTCGGCAAATAGTTAGGTCCACTAAAAAATGCACTGCACTCCTAAAAATATCATCAAGGTACCTATTCATAGAAATGAGGAAAAGAGGAAAGAAAATAATGCAATAGAGACAAAGGGTGTGTTTGGACATGTAATAAGCAAAACAATCTCAGGGAGAAGAACCTCCCAAAAAAAGATGTAAAGATTTAAAAAAGAAATACTCTATTAAAAAAAGAAAAACTGGAGAAGATAAGCAAGCTTGAAGAATTTAGGAAAGAAATTGAGTGGAAATAAAAACATTACAGAGACAAAAGTCATATTTAAAACCAAAAAGTAAAATAAGCATAAGAAAAACATAGTCAGAGATATATGAATAGTCCAAAGAAACCACACACAGAGAAAAACAAAATAATCATGAGAAGCATATAGATATGAAGAAAGACAAAGTAAAATCAAAAGACACATAATTCATTAAGAAGGAAGCAGATACATGGATTTGAAAAAACATTCAAACATATACTATTAATAGAAGAAAAAAATTATAAATAATTCTTGACTCTGAGACCAAAAGGGTATGACACACTCATAGCAATTTGAGGATGGGTGCTCAGCCACAGACATATTCTGATAATATTGCCAAACTTCACAGGCAAGGTGAAAAACTTCATTGAGCATCCATTTAGAAAAACAAACTCACATAAAATAACACACAAAAATATATGTTGGCCTGTGATTTCTCTACCTTATCCCTCAATGCCTGAAGATAATGCCAAGTATTAATATAAAAAGTCCTGTGGGAAACCATTTCAGACTCAGCCAAAAACTTTCTTCTGGTGTAAAACAAAAACACGTAAATATGTTCACCACCAAATAGTTCAAAGAATATAAACCACATTAGCCCTTCTTGGAAAACCACTTTGTGATGACATACAAAAAACAAAGAGATGAAATACATAAGTCAGGAATGAGAATCTATATATTTTAAAAAAACTAAATGTAACTACCAAATGCATTTAAGTAATAGAACCTTCTATATTCTATAATTCAATAAATGATACCATCTTTCTCCAATGATGTTCCTAACTAGAAACTTGGAAGTCATTCTAGAGTGATCCACTTTATGTAGTGAACTGGTGGTGAGAACTAACTAATCCAACCTCTTTAATATTTTTTCAACCTATTCTGTCCTCTTGAATTTCATGGTCTCAGTCTTGGTCTAGGCCTTCCTCATTTCTTTGCCCGAACTGCTAAACTGGTGCTCCAATTGCTGTATATTCCATCAGTTTGGTCCATCTTTCTCAAACTACTCAAGTGACCTTTCTACTACATAAATGTTATCCCTTTTTCCCCTTTCAGTGATGCTTCACTACCTTCAGAATGAAGCCTAATCTTCTTTGGAAGACATGAGCAGACGTTGCCAATCCAACACATTCTTAACTTTTCCAACCTCATTTTTTACTACTCCCATCCTCACACTACGCATGTTGAACATCTTGATTTTTCAGAGCCAGACATGTTCATACTCATCTCTGTATCTTTGCACACATGGTTCTCTTTCTCTCTTCCCCAGGAAAAGTCTATTCATTCTTTGATTCTCAGCTTAGAAATCGCTTCCTGGAACACTTCCCTGACATCTTCTCTCCCCTTCATATAATGTGCTCCCTTCTACCTGATTAATGAGTTCCTTAGAAATACCTTTATCATAGGGTTATCATGTAGCCATTGAATAAGTTTGCATCTCTTCATTTCTTTGTTTCCATGAGCTATTTCACATTTATCACCTTAAAAAAGCCCCTTGGCCTGCCTACCAAATACTACTGTTCCTTCAAGTCTCAGTTCATATCTTAACAGCTCTGCTCTGAGAGTCTTTCATATTAACCAATCCAAATTAAATGTCCCTGCCTCGATTTTTCTCCGGAACTAAGCTTGTACTTTTACTCCTAGGACCTGTTGTATCAAGGCTTGCATAATAAGTTAGTGTTTCTGTGTGTGCTTCCTGTAAAAATGCCTGAAGAGGATGGGTAGTTCTTTATTCATCTCTATATCCTTCATGAAACCCAGCATTGGCCTTTGGTAGCAGCTCGGTAATATGAGCCCCAGGAGGAATATTACCAAAGTAAGCATGGGGGTAAATAATATTCCAAAGTCTCTCAGAGAAAAAGATCTGAAGGAGAGGGAATACATAGGTCATTACATTTCAATAAGGTGAATGCCATAATACGGCTAAACAAAGGGTACTTGAGAAATACTTCACCCATACTGGAGAGGGAGAGAATTTTGGATGCTCTTGCATAAATAGGTTTCTCTAGAGTAAGTGCATTAAATATTTATGTTAGTAGAAACCACACTTTATTATTGTTCAGTAAAATTTAATCTATTCCCTGCAATGCTCCTTTCAATGTAACCCATTTAAAAGATAATTCATGAGACTTCGTATTTAGAATGAATGGAGTCATCATTAAGAGGTTCATCCTATATTCATACAGCATACATTCTTAGTAGTTAGTGCTGGTTTTTCATATATGATATAAATTGTCATATTTCTATTAGTGTGTACTTCCTTGAGTCTTACTTCCAGAATTTTGTCATAATATAAATTGAGTATCCGAAATCTACTCAAATTAGTTAGCATTTCTTTAAAAGTTCTGAAACCACATATT